ATTCCTCGTCCTTGCATTCTTGTGATAACTGGAAGAAGGACGCAAGTAGGGGTTTCAGAATGTTGTAGTTAATACGCCGTTCTTTCGAGGTCTTAACAGCCGACATATTTGTGAAGCTGTTCTCAGCTTTCGTTCGGCCCCATCTGGAATAACGCGTCAAAGCTTGCCCACCTTGCCTTGTTCGAGACAAAATGGAGCTCGAAAGAGTTTTGTGTTGGTACGAAATTGGTCGAGGGGTTACGAAGCCAAACGTACCACGAGCGTCTACTTAGCTTGGGTATGTAGTATTCGATGCACTACCGACGGCTTCTAGAAAACCTAGTCCTTAAATACCGCATTTTAACAGGGAAGGTTGGACTGGACTTGAGCTGGCTATTTAGCCCGGCTAGGTTGCCTTATCTTCGCGGTCATCCCATGAAGATACATAAGCCGCGTTTCGACCCGATCAGGGCGGAAACTCGGTTATCGAGCGCTGGAACTGGAGTCCAGAAAGTGTAGTCAGTGAACCTACGGTTAAGGGTTTCGAGTGTCAGCTAGACATGCTTGGGTGGCAACACGAAACCTTTCCTTTCTCCTGACCATATCCATCTAACTTTGAGTTCATATTCTGTAATTCGCCTCACTTTTTGGTGTTATCCTTCATTTAAACGACCTTCCTTCCTCTTTATCTTCCATGTTCCTTCCACGTCTTCCTTACTTTAAGTGATCTACACAGCAGGGACTGCTAGTGCAGGGAACGTGGCAGTAATTGGTTGACCAGGGTGTGGTTCGGGTGCTTCGTTTTGGATCCATTAAGACTTCGTAGCACGTTATTTCTTGGCGCAACGATCCGCTCAAGGAAGACTTGAGGGATTTCCCTATCGTTCCAGTCCAATCCGAATCTGAAAAAGTTCAGCAACGAGCCTCGAAATTTGTCCCTGGGCTACGCGAACACCATATTCCGCCCGATACCAGAGGATGAACCTTTACCCCTTAGACTATCGCTGACGTCGAGGAGACCTTATCAATATTAGGCGTATGCTACGAGAATTGGGAAACGATCTGAGGCAGTTTCCTCAGCTAAGACTTGGCAGTTCGACTTGAGGTCCCAGCTGGAAACTATTTAAACGGAGGAAGTTCAAAGTTCGTTCAGACGTTGTCCTCTCTCTCTAGTTGAGTAGTCAAGGATTGGAGCCGACTCCAGGGACACGATTGTCAATGCGCAGTCCGAAGCGAGCTACAAACGTTTGCTAGTCATCTACCTACTGAATACTCCAGGAACCTGCAGGATTGATACTAGATCCTGAGCGATGCCAAAGCAACCCCACCTGCAATCCTTGGAAGACGGGGAAGCGAAGCCGACACGGGAACTCCCTTTTGCTCTCTACCACTCAATGAATTCAGAGTAAACTGCTGAAAAAATGCGATACGGATTACCAAGACTAAACCACCAAAAATTACTCAAAATCTAACAGACAATGGAACGAAGATATTACGTAGGTACCCCTTCCAAAACATTATTTAGTTAAAGTAGACATCAGCCCACATCCATTAGATCAAAGAAAATCTGTAAAAGGCTTATGTTCCTGCAAAATATCCTTGCAGATGAACTTTCTTATTAAAATGGCGTCCAGGGAAAGTTGTATCAAGCCGTCCCACCTAAAATAGTTCGATGAGTTATCACGAAAATAATCGATTCCACGAAGTAATTCCGTCACATTCTTAGTGAAGCGCGAAATGGAAAGTTAGATGAATCCGGGATCCTTAATGAAAAAATGACGGAAACTATAAGACCATTTCACGACCACAGGACTGACATCAAGCTACTTAGGGCACAAAACTGTCAGAAATCAATGCACCCTGAGAAAACGAGACAGACTACAACATGAACATGAACTGGCCATGGAGACCAAAAACTGTCCAAAAGAGGTTTTTACCTACTTGAAGCGAAATGTCAAAACGGGTAGTGGAATCACCGCTCTATCGTCTTCTAAGGTACTGTAAAAAAGTAAATCGCCAGCTGTACTCCGTAACGGCGCTTCGCTGCCACGCGACCACCAGTGGGCTGAGTATACCGCCAGGACGCCCGCCCCTACGCGGATTCGAACCGTTGACCTTATGGTTGCAAACCAGACACGCATACCACTCGGCCACAGGCTGACGAAGGTACCATTCTCTACGGCGATGATGAAAAAGCAAACCCACTGGCTGCGCAATATTCCTCGGTCTACTCAGTGGAATCTTCCCTGCTCGACAACTGTTTGTCTGCACACTACTACACTATGAACCAAGTTGAAATCAACCCCGAGGTAGTCAATAAGCTACTCCTCGAACTGGACCTGAACTCTTCCCCAGGCCTGGACGGATTGCATTCCAGCTTCCTCAAAACGATACGTGAGTACGTCGACGCCCCTCCCCGTCAAATATTTCGGCAATCTCTCGAAGTCGGCTGCCTACCCACAGGCTGGAAAGCAGGTACCGTTCTGCCCAAATAAAAGGGGGGAAACCAACAAGACCCAGCCAAATACCGGCCAATAGGCGTGACATCAGTCGTATGCAAAACCATGGAACGTATAGTCAAGTGCGCCCTACAGCTACACTGTGTGAATCTAAACCTCATATCACCTGCTCAACATGGCTTCCGGAGAGCACGCTCATGCATCGCTAACTTACTCATCACCAGGGAAACATGGGCAGAAGCCATAGATGTCCGAAAACAGGTTGACGTAATATTCATTGACTTCAGTAAAGCCTTTGATAAAGTTCCACACGTACAACTGCTACATAAACTTCAGGGAAATGGCATTACAGGAAGTCTCTTCTGGATTGCCGATTTCTTAAGAGGTAGGACAATGCGCGTACAAGTGAACCAAACCCACTGCTCCTGTGCCTAACTGGGGACGTTCCCCAAGGATCAGTGCTTAGACCAGAGCTCTTCAAACTGTACAATAGCGATCTGCCGACTGCACTTCAAACCGACTGCTTGATCAACGCCGATGACCACAAGCTATCGTCAAAAGTATCCAGCCTTGAGAATGTGGACAGATTAGAAGGGGCACTAGACCATCTACACGAGTAATCCATCAAGTGGGAATTGCTAATAAACCGAGATAAACCGAGATTGCCACTCGTCTCTTCACATCCATTGTACGACCGGTGCTAGAATACGGCTCACTCGCCTACTGTCCGTTGACGAAAGGCGAGATACACAAGCTCGAAAGAGTACAACACATAGCCACACGGCTCATTCCCGGTCTTCAGGGTGTGCCGTATGAAGAAAGATGCAGACAATTGGGTCTGTATACTCTAGCCTACCGCCGCGTGCGAGTGGACGTCATCATGACCCATCGGGTATTGCATCTGGGTGCTTATCCGATGCTGAGGCCACTGCTCCATGTCCGTGCGTCAAGCAGCACACGAGGTCACCAGTACAAACTGGTAGTCCCTGACCTCAAGTGGGTAGCTCATCCCTTGTGTCTTGAGCGGCGAGTGGTGAACATGTGGAACCGTTTGCCCTCGCGGATAGTAGAAGCGAACTCGGTGTCGGAATTCAAACGATTCCTGGACGCGCACTTTGCGGATGCCAGATTCGACGAAGCCTTCACAGGAAACTGACGAAGGAATCGTTCAATGATTATAACCCATGGAGCCCGTTAATCCACCAACTGCAGCTTCCGAAACGATGCCCATCCGTAATAGGCGGCGGAGCTGGTGAAGGACTCCATGTGGTTCATCCAAGAATATATCGTAAGTACATGGAGATTTTTTCTATGCTTGTAAATATTTTACTTTTTTCACCTGGGCTAGCTCACTACTACAGGTAACACTGTGTCAGTGGGACATGTCCTACATTGAGATATAGCTACATAGATGTTCAACATCTTTCTCGCTATCATGACAGTAAAGTAAAGTAAAGCTGTTCTCCCAAAGGGTAGCACTGAATCGTACGGTGCATTCCGCATTGGTGGGTTTCTCCTCAGGAATACGACTCACGAGATAGAGACTGAGACTGTATTTAAGAGCAAGTAGAAAGGTTTCCGTACAACTCTATCGAATTACGAAAAATCAAAATTTACTTGTGAATTATCAGCAGTTGTGTCTGGTCCGTTAATCGTTTTTCCGTGCTCGGTTAGAAATTTGTACTAGCGTCATTATTTCCGGACATACAATGTCTTGGCACTGTATGGGCATCGTTTCACAAAAGCACAGGTTTCCAAAATAACCGTCGATACGGGTTTTAAAACACTTCACAGAATCGGCCTCTATTAATCCTTCAGGGTTATTGTGAGTTGTGACATTAGAACGACGCAGGACACGTTGAATGTGGCCACTAGAAGGAGACTGGCGTGCGCCTTAAGAGGATCATTTGCTCGAATGTCTCCTGAGATGTTACGACCTTTGTTTACTTCGTATATCCGTCCAGTCTTAAAATATGACTTAGCAGCTATCCATACGCTTTCAAAGTATGAATGCGCACTGCTGAATAAGGTTCAGAAAGGTGCATCGAAAATTGTTCTTGGGCTTCGTGATCTCCCGTACCTCATTCGACTCAAGCAGCTAAACCTGTTCTCCCTTGAACTCCGCCGTCGCCGGAGTGTTTCCATCTGCACTAGGCGCATCCTCCGTGGGGAACTTAGAAGTGAGTTACCATTCTTCTGACCCAACACAGACTGTTCCACACGAGGTCACACATAGAAACCATTTAAGCAAAGAAGACGATTCGCATGGACGTCACTTTATCTACTAGAGTGGTAAATGATTGGAACGGTCCAACGGAAGAAATTGCAGACACGTCATTCAGGGATGGTTACAAACAGCTGCTAGACAAACATTCGCTGAGAATGCTGGAATCTTGCGGCTGTCACTGCAATCGCGACGAACTCTCTAGGACGTCGTTACGCAACGACACGCATCATATCCAGCATGATAGGGTATCGATCGGGATTTTCCTCGTGCTCTCTACAACACAATAATATGAAAACTACCAAATATTCCAAAGAAGCATTGACTGCAAAATTTACAAAAAGGCGAGCAAAATACCGTGCCAACTGGCACATGTTAACACGTGACAAGGTCCGGAGCGTCGGATCCGCCACTTGCGCTGCCCGGTAGTCGCAGACCTAGCACGGTACTTTAAAGATGGCAACGTTTGTTGATTAGTCAGACTGAAGTAAACAATTGACCTCTAGACTCTGTCATTCTAATCTGGTATACCTTCAAAAATGTGCTTTAGTGTGCTAAAAAGCTATCAACCGCTTGCCGCGGATTCGAATGCTTGTAAAAACGGTTAGCGAAATGCTACAAATTTGGCAAATGATTAAGACAAAAATATCCACTCCCCTATGTCCAATATTGCACTATGTGCGCATTGTAATGTTAAAAGTCAAATTTAGGTCGCCTGTTTTCATGGATGCTGTATTCGACTAATTTGCAGTCAACTGTGTACTGTGAGTGCTACGCGGTAACTTGACTTTCTGGCGTGCCATACTGATCGAGATTTTTAGTTGAATTAACGTGGAAAACAGTGTTTGAATAAACACTTGAAACGAAATTTGACTATTGTCAAATTTCCTCTGATCCAAGATATCTTGGATCGATTAAAGTGGTTCTGGTCAAAGCGTCTTTGGCGCTTACTGGTAATTTTTCCAGTTTTTCCCAGTTTTAACCCCGTTTTGCACCCCGTTTTTTGCCTTTTTATTGTGGTCATTTATCTATTGCATACGTGTTATAATCACTCTGTTTTCCACTATGTCGGTCTCGCAATGCACCGAGGCTGTTGTTCCTGATGGCTCGGATTCTGAGGTTATCGCACTATGTGGCGCACCAAGCTGCAATGTACCAGTAACTGACGATTCAGGCGGTATGCAATGCGATGTCTGCAACCGATGGTACCATCAGCTTTGTACGGAGCTAAATACCGAGCAGTACGCAGCGCTGGCCTCTAGCGAAATGTTGCTGTTCAGTTGTGCCAATTGCTGCAGCCGCCGGCAAGGCCGCTCAGCCTTTCGTACGAGAGAGGCATCTCTTGATACCCGGCTGCGAAATGTAGAGCGTTCGTTCTCGATGCTCTCTGATCTTCGCTATAAGATTGATCTGCTTATGACGACGCTTCCGGTCTCCAACAAAGCAGATTTGATCGCTTACACCGATGATCAGCTTGTGGCACCTATCATTATGTCACCGGTCCAGATGGCTACCGACCACCAAAATGAAGCAGCTTCGGACGTCGTATCTACACCTACGCTGATCGACGCCGAATTGCTGGTTCAAGGGTCACTTCGAGTTAAGCGAAGAAGAGCCAGGAAACCTCGTAAGCTCTCTGCTAAACAAGAAGTTGTCTCGGCACCGGAAACAAGCCAAGTGTCGTTACTTGGCAAACCGTCTGAAGGTTGTGCGAAGGCGAAGATCACAACACGCACTACTTATCAGCCGAAGTTGCCGGAAATCTCGGTTCTCACCGAGAAGACATATTCTGAAGGTGTGCTTGATTCTGCTCAAAGCGGAAAAGCCTCACGGGACCCTACTCCTGTTATCAAGAAGAAAAAGCAGATAAAATCTGCTATAAAGCCTTCCGGTGAAATCGATGACCCTAACAAAAGTAAGACATCGACAACGGAGCGAAAAACATACGCTGCCGTTGCTACATCATCGGAGGGGCTAAAGACAGTCCCATCACCAGTAGTGAAGCCACCTGCTCCGAGTGCCGAATCAAAGACCCGTGGGGTTAATACACCCCGTCGTGGCGATTCTTTCACGGATAGTAGCGTTATATTCCGTAACGCGGCTGAATCTACTGCTGTCCTTCCCGCTGATCGCATATTGGACGACCTTCAATGGTTTAAAATGTGCGTAACGAAGCTTCTTCCGCCTGGTTTTCCAGGCGTTACTGTCAGGAAGCTGATTAGACTGGGGAACGTCCCAGTTAACGTACCAAACCCGCGACCGCGGCTACTTCGTGTAGTACTCTCTACCCCGGAGGAACGCAATGCTCTCATGCGGTTTGCGTTTAAGCTGAAAGGTACAAATATTAGCGTTCAGCCGGACCTTCCGCTAGCCGATAGGCTGAAGCTAAGGGAGGCCATCAAGGACCTCAAAAGCAGGCGAGCGGCCTGTGAACAAGGTCTCCGGTTAGTGGGTTTTCGGGTGGTCAGCCGGCGGTCCTTTTCCGCCCTACCAGTGCCAGTACTGGTAGCGCACGACCCAGGTCTGGATCTAACGAAAAACTTCAGATAGTGCTAAGTAATGTGCGCAGCCTAAGGAATAAGGTGTACGAGTTAGGTCTGCTTGTAGATGGGTCTCATCCCGATATACTCGCATTCACTGAAACGTGGCTGTCTCAGGACATCACGGATGGTGAAGTACATCTACCTGGCTACGCACTATTTAGATGCGATCGCTCTGCTGGCCGACAGGGAGGGGGCGTCGCTCTTTATGTGAGCTGTAAACTGGACGTTTTGAAGACTTGCTTATTTCAGTCGGCAGACAAAACTGTTGAAGCTCTATCGGCTGTTATTAGCACCTCCTTGGCTCAGGTTACAGTTGTAATTGTGTATAGAAGCCCTGGGAGCGTATCCAAAGAGGTACTTGAATTCATCCGCTCCCAGTCCTCAAATAAGTGTTTGGTGATGGGCGACTTCAACCTCCCAGAGATTTGCTGGGTAGATCTTTCTTGCGACTCAGCGTCAGGCACATTTGGCGCTGATCTGCTTGAACTTACGCTCCAAGTATCTTTGCACCAGTTCATTGACCTCCCCACTAGGTACATGGACGCCCAAGTGCCGTCTATTTTGGACCTTGTATTCGCTAAGTCACTCGATTTTGTTGATGACATTACTTACGGACCTCCACTGGGTTCCAGTGATCATGTTTGTTTGCTCTTCAATTGTACTCTGTCTAGACGCTACCAGAGTACGGTTGAGTCTCGCCCGAACATATGGCAAGCAGACTATCAATCAATGAGAGCCAAGGCTTCTGGTTTCCATTGTGAGATCTCAGACGACGATACTGTCCAGGTTGCCTGGGATAAATTTAAGTCCTACCTCACAGAGGTCTCTGCTCCCTTCATACCAGTCACAAGGAGAAAGGAGGCCCGAGCACAGCCGCCCTGGATAGATCCCACTGGCAGGCATCTGCTCACAAAGAGGTCTAGATGTTGGCGGACTTACCGAGACGCTCCGTCCACCGATACTTATGACAGGTACCGTAAAGCTAGAAATAGGTGTAAGCAACACCTAAGGGATGCTCGGCTCAATTTTGAAAAAGGGTTAGCGGACGATGCTTCAGAGAATCCAAAAAGATTCTTCGCTTATGTCAAAAGGCGCTGCGCTTCGAACATGTCAATTCCAGTGTTGATGCGTGATGACGGTACTCATGCGCATACGGATTATGACAAGGCCTGCGTACTCAGTGGGCAATATGCGGCAGCGTTTGTAAGGGAAACCTCTTTGACAGGCGTTGAGCTGGTTTGCAGGACCCCAGAGGGTTCAGAACTATCTGAATTTATTGTAGCGGAGACTGCAGTTCGTAGGCTGTTACAAGGGCTGAACCCTTCTAAGGCCTCTGGGCCTGATTTAATTCACCCGAAACTGTTGCATGAGTTGGCTGCGGAACTAAGTGGACCGCTCGCTATTGTGTTTCAGAAATCGCTTGACAGTTGTGCATTGCCTTCCGAGTGGAAGGAAGCTGTCATCTGTCCCATCTTTAAACATGGGGACAGGGGTCTGCCTGCAAATTACAGGCCAGTTAGTCTGACGAGTGTAGTAGTCAAACTCCTCGAGAAACTGGTGAGAGATTCATTGGAGAGTCATCTAAGTAGATTTAATCTACTTAGCAATGTACAACACGGATTCCGGAAGGGATTTTCGTGTCTGACCAATCTGTTGGTAGCTCGCGAAAATTGGGCGGATGCAGTGGATAACGGCCACACACTGGACGTGCTTTTCGTCGACTTTTCGAAGGCATTTGACAAGGTACCCCATTTGAGGCTCGCGCAAAAGTTGTCCTCCTACGGGGTATCTGGCCGCGCCCTTCATTGGGTGACTGCCTTCTTGGAGGGTAGAGAACAATGTGTACGGGTAGGCCGGGGTCTATCATTTAGGCAATCTGTCCTCAGCGGCGTGCCGCAGGGCTCGGTCCTTGGACCGCTGTTGTTCTCTATCTATGTGAATGACCTACCCACGGAGCTTGAGGTACCATCGCTGCTATTTGCTGATGACCTGAAGCTGTGGAACATTGTTGATGTTCCTGGGGGTTCCGAAGCTATTCAGCGAGCATTGGATAAGCTTTGGGACTGGTCTACTTTATGGTTACTGCCCATAAATCAGGCAAAGTGCTCCGTTCTTCGAATTGGAGGAGGTTGTCCTCCTGCGAAGTACTTGGTCGGTGGGGTCGAACTCCCCCCGTGTATCTAGCCAGCTTGACCTAGGCGTCGTACACTCTTCGGCTTTACACTCCGGCGACAACTGGAAGAAGGCCGCAAGCAGAGGTTTCCGCATGTTGTGGTTAATCCGACGTTCTTTCGGAGTCTTGACGGGCGGCATCTTTACGAGGCTGTTCTCGGCTTTCGTTCGCCCTCATCTGGAATACTGCGTCCAGGCTTGTCCGCCCTGCCTCGTCCGGGACAAAATGGAGCTGGAGAGGGTTTTACGAGTGGGTACTAGGTTAGTCGAGGGATTACGGGGACGGACGTACCCCGAGCGTCTACTTAGTTTGGGAATGCATTCTATGCACTACCGAAGGCTTAGAGGAGACCTAATCCTAACCTACCGTATCTTGACTGGGAAGGTTGGTCCAGATTTATCTTGGCTATTCAGTCCCGCTAGATTGTCTGTTCTACGCGGTCATTCGTTGAAGCTGGACAAACCGCGGTCCGATCGGATTAGGGCGGAAATCCGGCTGTCACGCCGAGTTATCGACCGCTGGAACATGCTTCCGGAAAGTGTTATCAGGGAATCTACGGTTAAGGGGTTTGAGCGGCAACTTGACGCTCTTGGGTGGCAACACGAAACCTTTCCATTTTCCTGAGTAACTCGCATCTTCGTACTTCGATTTTCTTTTC